GGGGGCGGGTGTCAGATGAGACCCTGGGACAGTGGCTGAGCATGTGCAGCCTGCCTGGCACTGCTCACCATATGCTCTGGCTGTGCTGTGGCCTCATCCTGGCTCCCCATGTTGCTCAGCGGGCAGCGCTCAGTGGGTGAGGGTGTCTTGCTTCTCCAGAGAGGGAGGCCAGACAGGAGTGACAGCCAGACTCCTGGTCCCTGGTGCTGAGCCTTGGGGGGGGACATCCAGCTCTCACTGGGGGCTTCCCCCCTTGGGGAAGGGCTGGGTTATAGAGTCTGTCTCCATAGCACAGCCCCAGGGAAGACAGGCCTCTGTGAAGCAGGGGGTGCCCAGTCTCAAAAAAGGCACTGTTTGTCTCTGGGCAGCTCCTGCACGTTGCAATTGTGTGTGCCGGGCACAACGCAAGCCGGGATGTGGTCACCCTGGTGAAATCCATCCTTTTCCACAGGTAATGGGGAGGTGCTGGTTTGGGTTTCCCAGATGAGCTGCCGCAGGCTGGGCAATGCTGCGGGAGAGAGGTGGCTCTAGAGCCTCTCTCTACCCTCTCTGCCACTGCTTAGGGGAGGATTTGTTTCTCCCAGGTGGCTAATTTTTCTCTATCTGCCCTTCACCTGATGTCTGTCCCCTTGCAGGGGTGGGAGGGATGGGGACCATGTGCTCTTCCTCCTGCTATGCTGCTGAGTGCTGCTGTGCTTGCCCTTGGCAGGAAAAATCCTCTCCACTTTCACTTCATCACGGACTCAGTGGCCCATCAGATCCTCCAGACGCTTTTCCAGTCCTGGATGGTGCCCTCCATCCACGTCAGCTTCTACAACGCCGATGACTTGAAGGCAGGCACTTCACCCCCCCTTTGCCCTGTCCCAACCCAGTGCTCAGAAAGCCAAGGGGAGCAGCACAGAAGGGCAAGCAGGAGGGAGTTTATTAACTCTTTTCCTGCTGGTCCCTCACTCACTTCCTCCACTTTCTGGGCTTCTCTTGGATTGAGCTGGGAAGGGGGGCAGACGGCTGGTGCTTGAGGGGTAGGGAGGCCCCTTGGGGTAGCATTGCCTCCGAGGCAGAGCTGGGTCCCCCAATGAGACACTAAAACATTGGGTTTGGGTGGGGGTTCTGGTGGCTGGAGGAAAATCCAGGCCAGGGTGAGAGCAAAGGAGGAGGACATGCAGCCAGCAAGCACCTGAAGGGCCTGGTAGAGAGTTGTGTGGCTGCTGGTGGTGCAGCTAGAGGAGATACCCCAGGCTTGGCTGGCTCCACAGCTTTGTTGTGCCTCTCTGCTGGTCTCCTCAGCACGGAGTGCTGTGCACACACAGCCCTCCTGCCCAGGCAGAGGGGCATGGCCGTGCCCAGCCCTGAGACTGTGTTGCCTTGCAGCCAGAGGTGTCATGGATCCCCAACAAGCACTACTCTGGTATCTATGGGCTGATGAAGCTGACGCTCACCAAAGCACTGCCCTCCAACCTCTCCAAGGTCATCGTCTTGGATACCGACATAACCTTTGCCACTGACATCGCTGAGCTCTGGGCTGTCTTTGGGAAGTTTTCTGGTGAGGACAGGGTGCCCCTGGGACCCGCTGGGGCCCTGGGCTAAAGGAGGAGGACATGCAGCCAGCAAGCACCTGAAGGGCCTGGTAGAGAGTTGTGTGGCTGCTGGTGGTGCAGCTAGAGGAGATACCCCAGGCTTGGCTGGCTCCACAGCTTTGTTGTGCCTCTCTGCTGGTCTCCTCAGCACGGAGTGCTGTGCACACACAGCCCTCCTGCCCAGGCAGAGGGGCATGGCCGTGCCCAGCCCTGAGACTGTGTTGCCTTGCAGCCAGAGGTGTCATGGATCCCCAACAAGCACTACTCTGGCATCTATGGGCTGATGAAGCTGACGCTCACCAAAGCACTGCCCTCCAACCTCTCCAAGGTCATCGTCTTGGATACCGACATAACCTTTGCCACTGACATCGCTGAGCTCTGGGCTGTCTTTGGGAAGTTTTCTGGTGAGGACAGGGTGCCCCTGGGACCCGCTGGGGCCCTGGGCTCAAGGTGGCATCCTGGCTGCCACAGCACGAGCACGGTGGGTTTGCTTGGGCCCTCTGAACCTCCAGCAAGGTGAGCTGCATCCATGTCCCTCTGTGTCCTCAGACAAGCAGGTGATCGGGCTGGTAGAGAACCAAAGTGACTGGTATCTGGGCAACCTGTGGAAAAACCACAAACCATGGCCAGCCCTGGGACGTGGCTTCAACACGGGTGAGTGTGCACTGCTGGGGTGGACTCTGCAGCCTGGTGGTGCATCCAGCTGAGGTGGCACTTGGCATGGGGTGGCTGGGGAAGGCTGAGGTGATGCGTGAGAGTCTGTTGGGCACGAGGGGGATGCTGTAGCATCCCGGGGTCGTGTTTTGTGGGTGGGCAGGGGCCAAAGCCATGCAGGCTGCTGTGCTCCAGCTCTTTAATGGTTGGGAGCTCCTTTGGTGACCCAGTGCCCTCCTCCCTGGCACCCAGGGGTGATCCTGCTCCTGCTTGACCGCCTGCGTCACCTGGGCTGGGAGCAGATGTGGCGGCTGACAGCGGAGCGGGAGCTCATGAGCATGCTCTCCACCTCGCTGGCTGATCAGGTAATGGTCTCTCCTCTGGGGTGGTGGGCCCTGCTGTGTTCCCGTGGCACTGCTGGAACAGGGGGCGCCGTCCTGCCTTCCTCATCCACCCGCGCACTCGCCGTTCTCTCTCCTAGGACATCTTTAACGCTGTGATCAAGCAGGACCCAGCCCTGGTGTACCGACTCCCCTGCTTCTGGAACGTGCAGCTCTCTGATCACACCCGCTCAGAGCAGTGCTACACTGAGGTCTCAGACCTCAAGGTGGGTGGGCTTGCTGCCTTTGAGACCAGGGAGGGCTTCAAGGTCAGCACTGTGCTGGAGGTCCAGCAGGGAGTCAGCATGTGGTTTGGGGCCTTGGGGAGTGCTGGGTACTGCTGACTTCCCCTCCGCGGGGTGACACACTGCTGCCCTCAGGTGATCCACTGGAACTCACCCAAGAAACTGCGGGTGAAGAACAAGCATGTGGAATTCTTCCGCAACCTCTACCTGACCTTCCTGGAGTACGACGGGAACCTGCTGCGCAGGGAGCTCTTTGGCTGTGCCAGTCTCCCCAGTCCGCCCAGCAACCAGGTGAGGGTGATTGCTCCCAGCCCCAAGAGTGTGAGGTGGGCAAAGACCCCACGCAGCTGCCCCAGCCCCCGTGGTGATCCTGCTGTCTCTCACCTTCCTGGCGTTGCAGCTGCAGCAGGCGCTGGAGGAGCTGGACGAGGATGATCCCTGTTACGATTTCCGCCGGCAGCACCTCACGCAGCACCGCATCCACCTCTTCTTCCTGCAGTACGAGTTCCTGGCCCTTCCCAACCCCACCGATGTCACTCTTGTGGCCCAGCTTTCCATGGACAGGTACTTGCTGGTGGGTCTTGTAGGAGGTTGGATCCTGCCTCCACTCCTCTGGAGTGGCTCCACAGCGTGGGAGCTACTAAGAATCCCAAAACACAGGTTCCTCACCCCAGCACTTTGCAGTGAGGAGCAACAGCCCAAGCTGGGAGTAGCAATTCCTTCTGCTTCCACCTGAACAGGGTTCACTGGGAGGCATCTAGTTCTGGGTTTGGCCAAGCTGCCATGGGACAGGTCTCTTGCTGACGCAGTGCCCTGTGCTTCACAGGTTACAGATGCTGGAGGCCATCTGCAGGCACTGGGCGGGCCCCATCAGCCTGGCGCTGTACATGTCGGACGCGGAGGCTCAGCAGTTCCTGCGCTACGCCCAGGCCTCCGAGGTGCTGAGCGCCCGCCGCAACGTCGCCTACCACATCGTCTACAAGGAGGGGCAGTTCTACCCCATCAACCTCCTGCGCAACGTGGCCTTGGCCAACACGCAGACGCCGTACGTCTTCCTGACGGACATTGACTTCCTGCCTATGTATGGCCTCTATGATTACCTCAGGTAAGGCTTTCTCCAGCCAGCTGAGCTCTTGCTCAGCCTGCTGGGCTAGCCCAGGATGAAGGTTTGCAGGAAATGCCCTGGGCAGCAATTCTTAACATGCAGGAAGTTTCCTTTCTGTTCAGCCTTGGGATCCTGCCCTTGCTTTTGTCAGACAGCAGCAGATAAGGAAGCAGCCATGGCTGTTAGGCATGCTCAGTTCCTCGTGGCACCACTACAAAGTGTCTAAACCCATTAATACCCTTGTGGGTAGTCTGGAGGGGCTGAGGAAGGAGGCTGTGGCCATGGCTTACAGCCGAGGAGACCTCACACTCTTCCTCCCACCATAGGAACTCCATCCAGCAGCTGGAGCTGCCCCAGAGGAAGGCAGCTCTCATTGTGCCAGCATTTGAGACCCTGCACTACCGCTTGACCTTCCCCAAATCCAAAGCAGAGCTGCTCTCCATGCTGGACATGGGCTCCCTCTACACCTTCAGGTAGGGAAATGGAGCTGCCCTGCCATCCAACAGGGCTGTCACCCTCAGGAGAAGCCAGTTTTATACCCTAGTGCCTTGGGGTGGTGGGACAGCTGGCTCGGAGGATCCCCCACATCCTCTGTCTGTCCTGGGGAGCTGCCGGCTTTGCTCGGTCTCTCATTTCCATCTCTCCCTGTAGGTACCACGTGTGGCCAAAAGGCCATGCCCCAACTGACTATGCCAAGTGGCGGACGGCCACCGTGCCCTACCGCGTGGCGTGGCAGCCAGACTTCGAGCCTTACGTTGTAGTGAGGCGAGACTGCCCCAAGTATGACCAGAGGTTTGTGGGCTTCGGGTGGAACAAGGTGTCCCACATCATGGAGCTGGATGCGCAGGTGGGTGAGGGGCTGCTCCTGGCAGCAGGGAGGTGCTGGGTGTTGGGGGGGTCTTGGCTGGGCTGGAACATGTTGGTACCACCGAGCTGATGCTGCCTGCTGCTCTGCCTCCAGGAGTATGAGCTGCTGGTCCTGCCCAACGCCTTCATGATCCACATGCCCCACGCCCCCAGCTTCGACATCTCCAAGTTCCGCCTGAGCGTCGGGTACCGGGGCTGCCTGCAGACGCTGCGGGAGGGGG